GGATGTGAATTCAACTGATAGGGTGCTGCTTCAATCATCTAAACCTCCTTTGCACACAAATGTTGACTGTACTGCACTTGTAGGTGCTGTTGTTAGTAGGCAGGTCGCTGTTGTCCGTCTGCTACTACAGGTATATTACCCGTTCTAAAAAAAAAAAAATATTGTTCTAAATAGAATAGTATGCACATATTTGGTAGATGCCCCACCCACCTGGCCTGCGCCAGGGTTGGGATGGTATTTCATTTCCGATAGAAGTCCAACAGTCCCAAAATCTTACCTTGGACTAACAGCATTGGACTATTCAAGAAACGTGATTTGCATGATAATGAACAATTCACTTGGGAATAACCCTTTTGCAAATATCAGAAAGGCAAGTCCCCTTGGTAATGTCGGTTTAACAAATGTGAAATAGCTAGTGTTGTACTTTTGGATGGCGATGCCATGGTTGTGATGGTTCAAAAAAGGCATGGGAAATGCAACTGATACTTAGCTGGCCTTGGCGAAGTAGGTTGTGTAAGGAGAATTCGGCATTGGCTTCCCAAGTGACAAATCTAAACAATATTTTTTCACAGCTAATTGTGAATCTGTGTTTTAAACAGGACTAACAAGCCTTTTTTGTGTTCTTTCAATGAATAATAAGGCAGCTGGTGTGAGGACACAGATTAAAGTGCCCTTGGGAGCTTGGTCATGGGATACGGCTTCAGGTGAAGAATTTAGAGTGGGTGCAGGACTGGCAGAGCCCTATGCCATCACCTGGTGTGCAGTGGAATATTTTGAAGCAAGTGGTGCCATTTTCCAAATGCTCCTCCAACACATCTCCCCCAACAACCTTCACTATGGAAGATCTCTCCTCCACCATGCCATCCTATGTGGCAATACAGGAGCCACTAAGGTCCTCTTGAATTGTGGCACCGACATAGAGTCCCCTGTTAAAACCTCCGAGAAAACCGAATTTCGTCCAATACACATGGCTGCCCGTCTCGGATTGTCAACTATTCTTCAATGCCTGATTGACTCTGGCTGTGATCTGAATGCAACAACAAACACTGGTGAGACAGCTCTGACGATTTGTGCAAAATACAAGCAAGCAGACTGCCTTAGGGTGTTGGCAACAGCTGGTGCCGATTTTGGCTTGGTCAATATAGCAGGCCAGTCCGCTAGTTCAATTGCTGGGTCAAATCGATGGTGCCTCGGTTTTCAGCAAGCTGTGCTAAACTTAATTAGGGTCGGAAAGGTTCCCAAATCAAGCAACATTTCTGTCTTTTCACCTCTAATGTTTGCCGCTCGATCAGGAGATGTTCAAGCCTTAAGAGCTCTGATTGAGCAGGGAGAAATTAACCTTGATAGTCAGGATGACAAAGGTTTCTCGGCAGTCATGGTTACTGCCATGGAGGGACATGTTGAAGCCTTCCGGTTGCTTGTATATGAGGGGGCTGATGTAAAGCTCAGTAACAAACTTGGCAAGACAGCGATTACGCTGTCTAAATTGAATCAGAATCACGATCAATTTGAGAAAGTACTGCTTGAATTCGCCCTTGAAAAGGGGAGTCAGTGCGCTAGAGGTTTTTATGCCCTGCATTATGCAGCTCGCCGGGGAGACTTAAATGCAGTTAAATTGTTGACAAGTAGGGGTTATGATGTGAATGTTGCTGATGGGGATGGCAACACACCACTGATGTTGGCAGCAAGAGAAGGCCATGGAAGCGTGTGCAAGCTTTTGATCTCTAGTGGAGCACGTTGTGATGTCAAAAATGCAAAGGGTGAAACTGTACTTTCACTAGCAAGAAAGAATGGTGGCATGCAAAATAATACAGTGTGTATAATACTTGATGGGCTTGCTCGTAAGCTGGTGTTAAGCGGTGCTAATGTGCAGAAGCACACCAAGGCAGGGAAGGAGCTCCACATAAGAAATTTCTCAAAATGTTGGGAAATGAAGGGGTACTGCAGTGGGGGCGTTCCAGCCGGAGAAATGTGATATGCGGAGATGCCGAGGTGGGACCAAGCTCTGGTTTTCGGAGGTTCAGGCAAAGGAAAGGTGATGGCGATGTACCCGGACTGTTTCGTGTAGTCACAACAAATAAGAAGGAATTCCATTTCGTGTGTCAGGGTGGACTGGAAACGGCGGAGCTGTGGGTGAGAGGAATAAAGCTTGTGACAAGGGAAGGAATGTTTGGTAAGATGGAGAGTGGTCCATGAATCGGGAAGTTATATCTAGAATATTTAGACAATGTTGCCTAATACTTCGTCTTGAAGTATTTGCAATTTTTCATTCACATTGTAAATGGTTTGATTTTCCTAGCTGTAAATGCATTTTGCAGAATTAATATCTGTGGAAAAGGCAAACATAGTTTGTGCGTAAGTGAGTGAGCAATTTTGTGTTGAAAAAAAATAAAATTTTACCCCCTGACCTCTTCATAGGACACTGCAACCTTATCTGGATCCTGGATAGGCTCATCCCAGAGACTATTTTCCTTTGGTGGTGCAATGTATACGACTGTAGAAGAGGTATTCTTCATTCAGGAAGTTATGGGCCTTGCTAGTCACCATTGGCTCAGTTGTGTTTTGTTGGGTTAGGCACTGGCCGCCTGCTGGTATACCAGGGAGGAATTACGACGGTAAGGATTTGAGGTTGGTGTCATTTGCTTCTTTCAATGATCGGGCCTAATCTACTTGGCATCTCACATTGGTTCTTTCTCTTTAACCATGTTCCCGTCGCTTAAACGACACCAGATTGTTCCATTGATCCAATCTGAATGCTCTTGCTCCTTGATCTTCCGCGAAACTATGTCTTAAGTTCCCCCAACACACTGATTCTACCCAATTTCATCTGGATTAACAACAGATGATCTGAAATTAAAGAAAATATATCCATGAGTGAATCTATACCAGCTCGTGATCGACCGTTATACTAATATAATTAAGTTCGTTTTCAACAGTGGTAATAAACACAATCAAGAATTTTATAATTTAACCAGTAAAACTTTATCGGAGTGATTTTTTGATATTCTATTTTGTCTTTCTTTTAATATCAAAAAAAAAAAAATCTAAAAAACCTTTAATTTCTTGGATTCACGGGAACTAGATTACCAGGTTTCACATATTTTTAAATCATGGATGGTTTCACATAAGAAAGTAAGAAAAAATATATTGAATCAAATCCCATGTTATTGTAGTGATTAACGTTGCTACCGTGATATATAGCGGCGAGCGGCGACATGTACCACCGTAAAGTTGGCGACCTAGCACCACATGAGTAAAATTGAGGGATTTGAAAAGTTACCGTTTTGTGTACGGCCCCAAGGGATAAGAGCGAAAGCTGACACTTTTACAGCCAGTAAATATGTACAGGAATATTTACTAAAAAAACAAACTGTCCTGGAATAAAAATGCCCCTATTTGACAAATATAACCCTGATACCGAGAATATATATAATACATATTGGACAATGTCACTTTGACTCCTCTAATTGATCTAATTTGTTTATCGTTCAATATAGTCTTCATTTAGTCCTAACCAATTACTTCTTTTTAATCAATTTCTGAACAAAAGTATATAATACAAGTAAAAAGTAAGTTGAAATAGAAAAAGAATAGTCATTTCAAGCCCAAATTATTATTAAGCTCAAGTGACAAATTTACGTCAAAGAAATTCACGAAACTTTCTCTCTTAGAAAAATGAGAGACGGGATATTTATTCCAAACATTTCTTTATTGTACGCATAAATAAAAAACTAAAATGAACCGTACCTCTTTTATTAATAAAATAAAAAAAAAAAATTAAGACCTTATTTTTATACACTAAAAGCGTTCTAGCGGATTATTAATGAGTGTCTGAGCTCATCACCCACATGTATGGTTGCTGTCTATAGAACTCAGAATACCGGTCCGTCACGCGATTTTAAATGTCTTTTTAGCTATCTATGTTTTGATTGTGCTTTCATCCGTCATCATCAGCAACCTAGCAAAAATGAAAAACAATAGGAATATCAGCAAGGTCATTTTTGTCTTTTGTAATTCAAAGATTTTATTATTCTTTTTTAGCAAGTCTCAAAATGCCAAAACACATTTTATTATTAACGTTCCCATAAAAATTGTTGACAAATAAATGATTAATGAAAAAATCGGAGGCTTCCTCAGTACTCCCCCACTCAGGGCAACCGTTTTTCTTCACCCAGAAACACCCTTCTTTCCTCAGTTGCAGAGGTTTCGTGCTTTTGACTTTCAGAAGAAAGTTCACAGACTTGGGGCTATAGAGGAAGATAGTTTTTAGAGAGAGAAACAAAGATAGGGAAACAACAGAAGAACATGTTCTACTCACAGTGGCTTCTCTCCAAGAAGGGCCCTTTAGGCACCATATGGGTTGCTGCTCATTGTCACAAAAGGCTCAAGAAACAGCAAGTTAAAGAGACTAACATCTCTTCTTCTGTAGGTGAGTCTCCCAATTTCATTCTCAGTTTCTTCTCTTGGTCTTTACAATCTTTCTGCAGTTTGAATGGTAGAGAGAGAAAAGAAAACGAACAGAATGGGAAGTATTTATACATGGTCATAATGCTTTCCTTTTTAAGCCTCTATAGAGCTGATTCTTTTATTTTTTGCTCCGGTTTTCTCAAAAATCAAACGTAGGATATGCTGGTTTTGTTTTGTTATGTATTTTATTTACTTTGTGTATGTGTTGTTTTCACTTTGGAGACGCTGAGAGAGAGTTATTTTTTTTGAGTCTATTTGTTACGTGAGAAATTTAGTGTAATGGGTGTTGGATGTGAGGTCGTAATTTGTATAGTAACTGGATTTGTTCGTATTAGTCTGGAAGTGTGTTTATCTACTTGTTCAGTTCTCTTTGCTGGTAAAGTTATTCGTAACCTAGAATTCGTATTTTCCTATGGCTACTTGATTGAATCTTATGACACAGTTAGTTTGCTATACTTGAGCACTTCAATTACTCATGAATATTTTCCTGGGGAGTGGAGCGCAAGGAGTAATTTAGATTTATTGATTGATTCCACTAGATTGATTATTTGTGCATATGAGATAGAAACAACCAAATCATACTATGATGGTCTATTAAATTGTACCCGTTGTCATTATTGGTGCAATTTGCTGTTTCTTTTTCTCTGCTTTTCAGTTATAATTTTTCTTTCTCCTCAGCGTAGTTAATTACCAACCAATGTTCTGGTTGAATCGTGAAAATTTCATTTTTCCAGGAAAAAAGAACTATTATTCCAGTCATGAAATTCAATTTCTCGTCCACATTGTCTGTCCCTCCAATATAATTTAGTTAAATTTACAATAACGTTTGTGCTAGATGGCAAAATGTACATCTTCTGTCCCTTGATTTCAAATTAATTAAATTTACACTAAGTTTATTGTTAGATGGAAGGAAAGGAATTCGACTTTGTTGGAGTCCTAAAATTGGCCTGAACAATAATTGCCAACCACTAAGGGTACGTGCATATAGGTGTGCAATGATGCAACTTAGTTTGGAACACATGGTACACAAACTGGGACTCAGAAGGCCTGATAAATGGCTAATGATCCTCGAAAGTTTGCATTTTTTGACTTATGTAATATCAACTTCGTAAGTGGCTTTCTTCTGAAAATTGTACATCTTTGGAACACATGGTACACAAACTGGGACTCAGAAGGCCTGATAAATGGCTAATGATCCTCGAAAGTTTGCATTTTTGACTTGTGTAATATCAACTTTGTAAGTGGCTTTCTTCTGAAAATTGTACATGTTTTCTCAAGTTTAGAAAGTGGCATTCACATTGAGTAGAAGTGTTTTGTTCAGCATTTTTTTACTGGGCATCACAAATAGTATGAGTCTGAGCTGGCCATTTGCACCTTTTTCCTTGTTGATTTTAAATTCTTTGTAACATCTCATTTCATGCACCACAACATTTAGTGAGGGTATTTAGCGAGCTGATGTTCATGGTTTTTGTTATCAACAAATTGTAACCGAAATGCTGCATGCCATGTTTCCTAATATTACCTGACCTGGATTTGGGACTGATGAGGATATAATCAAATGTATAGATTTGGCCCAGGAGTTGAATATCATTCACATTAGATTCATAGTCATATATCTTCTGCACAGAACAAAATACGACTGAAAAAATTGGGCCAGAACCCAATATTGGTGGATTGTATATTTAAAAATGAGGAAAATATTTGTCTTTTCTGTTCCTTCCTTTGGTTGGATGAACTCAATCGGGGGTTTATCAAATCTTCTATTTTACTACAAACAAATTCATTAGTGCATGGCCATCCAGGTTGTTATATAACACAATTTTGGGTGGTGATGGGGTAGCTTTACTGCTGGTGCCATATTTTTGTTTGGGGGTGGTTGCTGTTACTGACACCAGTGGTGTGGGGTGATATTTTTTTTTCCCGGCAAATATTGATGGGGATATTTATTGCTCGTATTTTTTGTCAAAAGGGGGGAAAGTATATCACAAGGACAATGCATTCTCCGAGATATATTTGCGTACTCAAACATCATCAAAATATGAATCATATAAAATGTAAGTCAAAATGCCATATTAATTGGGTTTGTGTTGGAAGTTTAGTCATTGTTGACATGGATTTATTAGTTGAAAATTAAAATCACATGTCCTGTTTGGTTTTAGTTTTACATGCCAGATGAGTTTGTCCAACAGTGACAAAACTCTGCATTATTTTTATCATAGAAACAAAATTTGGTTTCGTATCTTGTGTAGATTTTTCTAATTTTATCCTCCATATTCTGCCCCTTCTTGTTCCTCATTCAGAAAAAATTATGCGAGATGAAGTTCCCATTGTCACATACAGAATACTAGCATACCTTCTTCTGGGTGTTGTGAGGGTATTCTCGATGAAAGTTGAGTATCTGTTCCATGACTGTCGTAATGTGCTGACTAAAATCACTGAATTTTCGGGTAGCAAAAAAGCTAAGGCAAATATGGAGGCCATGCGTGCACCTTTTCACTCTATTACCCTGCCAGAGAGTTTTGAACTTGAAGCTTTTAATCTGGAAGTCTTGGAAGATGTAAGCGGGTATGCTATATGCTTGTTGCAAAATTAAGTGTTTTGGGGTTACGCCTTTCTCACCAACCATCTTTGACCACCTTCTGTCTTCTGAACTGCAGTGCTAATGTGAGACCTCATGAAGAGATCTTGCTTGAAGGTATTGATTAGCTCTATAATCTTTGGTAGTTTGC